TGATTATAGACACTCAGAAGAACAGACTTTAAGGATCTGTATTCCATGAAACTGAAAAGCCTAAAAGACATGGATGAAATCTTAGATGCATACAGCATAACAAAATTAAATCAAGATGAAATAAACAGTTTAGACAGACCCATAACAAGGAAAGAGATCAAAACAGTGTACAGCAATACACAAAAAAAACTATAGCCAACAGCATACTAAATGGAAAGAAATCAAATAGTTCCCACTAAGAGTAGGACAACATTTTCAAAGAGAAAGCTCTTGTAGTAGGGAGTCCTAAAGGTCTTGGTGGGATGTAAGCCATCATCAGCAAGTGTGTTTGGAAGCTCAGATCTTATCACTTATGTCTATTGTTCTCTGACCTTTGTTTTGTGTCAAGCAAAGAGACAGGCATAGATTACAGAGCAGTTGTTTATATCATGGACTGCTAAAGTGACACCTAGCATGGCTGAGTGTTGTTTTTATGCCATAGCAAAGTCATTGTGAGCTTCTGGGTCTCCTGCTTTTCCTCTGCTCTGTTCTACTTGTGACTCTAGTTCCTGTGCTACTTGATTGTGGTACTTTGGGAAGTCCCCTCCTCTTTTTTTTTACTATTTATTGCTCTTTAAGGACTATGTAGTGCATTTGCTTTCCTTCAGGAAAGTTTTACAATCATTTCAAAGGTGCAATCATCCTCAGGCTGTTGCACACACACCACTCATGTCAGGTGTGTTCTTGACAAGCAATTCACTGCATGGCATAGTATGGCAGAGGTACCTGAAGTGAGGGTGCTCCTTGAAGAAGGCTTGCTCCTTCTCAAGGGCCTCAGTCAGGCTCAGCTTTTCCTGGATGTCCTGCTGACCCCTGCACTTGACTATCATGTAGCCCTTCTTCAGGTGGTACACCAGGTTCCGCACCACATCAATGACCTTGTCTTCAGTTCCTCTGTCCACAAGATCAGGCTTGGTCAAGATCCCTGCAGGACAGACACTGAAATCAGAGGAAACACACCAAGAGAGCAGGAAGTGTAGCTCTCACTGGGCACCAGGATCCCATCCTTAGATGAAGCCCACAGAAACCATGCAGGGTGGAAGCCCTCCCACAGAGACATGTGTAGGTGGCTTTGTGAAAACAACAAAGTCCTTCGATCAGCCACAGGCTCCTTCCTAGCACCTCTCCATGGCCATTACCCAGAGAGACAACAACTCTTCATTCTTACACTCTGTGGACCTTCCCATGGCTCCTATGACAGTGAGTCTCAGAAAATATGATTTCCTCCCCATGCTTGCCCACCTCTGACTCCTCATGCCTTTCCTACCAGGGAGCTGAGATGAAGGGGTCACTTCCTCCCAATTCAGTGGGATCCTGGGTGTGAACTGAGCTTGGTCCATCTGGATCCAGGGCTTGTGTCCCCACTAGCAAACCAACACCACTGTTACCTCCCACTCTCCTACCTATGGTCCTGTCCCCTTCAGGGTCCACCTCCTGAGCCATGCTCAGTGCCTCCGTGGTGGCGATGTCCACATTACTGGGGACCACCACCAGGTTAATGGTCTCCTGTTTTTGGATGTACGTCTTGATGAGTCTCTTGATCTGTAAGAAATGAGATGGTGACTTGCTGTGGGATGGTCTGTATGTCAAATTGCTCTGATTGGTCAATAAATAAAACACTGATTGGCCAGTGGCCAGGCAGGAAGTAGGTGGAACAAGGAGAGAGGAGAATTCTGGGAAGTGGAAGGCTGTGGCAGAGAGATACTTCCAGCTGCCGCCATGACAAGAAGCATGTGCAGACACCAGTAAGCCACCAGCCATGTGGCAAGGTATAGATTTATGGAAATGGATTAATTTAAGATATAAGAAGAGTTAGCAAGAAGCCTGCCACGGCCATACAGTTTGTAAGCAATATAAGTCTCTGTGTTTACTTGGTTGGGTCTGAGCAGCTGTGGGACTGGTGGGTGACAAAGATTTGTCCAGACTGTGGGCAAGGCAGGAAAACTCTAGCAACAAATGGTGCCCAATGAGAGGGCAAGAGTTTCCACATAAAACCTGAGAAAAGATTCTAAAACGGAGCTAAAAACAGCTTCCTAATTGTCTCTCTCAAATGAGCAGCAGCTGCTGGTTTGAGTTACTGGCAGGTTCCTGGCGTGTGTGCTTGACCTGCAGTATGGCAGGAATGAGGCCTCTGCACGTGGCACATTAAGCTGCATGGTGGATTTAGCCTTTGCTACTACAAAACAAAAAGAGGTTTCTGGGCTACACGCTGCTTTGATAAGAAGCATAGACCCACTATTTCTGAGAATTGATGGCTCCCAAAGCTGG